GTCGGAGAGCCTTGGCGACACGAAATGGAGTTTTTTTAATGCCTTCACGATTGAGATCTTCACCAAGACCTTTTAATATGACTTTGACAGCTTCTTGGATCGCTATGGTCTCTGGTTGTAACTCGAAAGGAAGCGAAACGCAGCCGTTTTTCATCCCATTCTCCACATCTAATAAGTTCATTGGCAACTTATAACACAAACAAAACTCAGATCTTTGAAACAGAGCACCCGAATCAAAGCTCTTCAGATTCAGTTTATATGAAGGAAAGGAACAGACTTTATACTGTGTATGCACTGATTCTTCCTAGGCAAACCCCCTAAGAATCTAATGACAAAAAAAAAGTGAATCCAAAACACTCTGTTTTTGGATAATACTTGGAAGGTGTATAAGAGAGAGAGAGAAGGAGAGTGGGGTCGACGTTTCAGGAATGTGTGGATTCGTTAAGTCAGTAATCGAAACACTTTTGATGGATCTGAGAGGTTTAGCCTATCACTATCAGGCAAAAGAAGAAAGTTTCCTTTTTTGAATGTAAAGGCGGCGAAGACCTTTCTTTGTCCCTCTCCCTTAACCCTAGTTTGAAGTTCGAACACTCCCTCTCTTTAATGTTGATTTTGCTTAAAAAAGCATTTTCATGAATCATGAATAATATAATGATTCTGCGTAGAAGGTCTTGGTTTAGCTCAAAACCGAGAAGATTGCATATTAAGTAACGGTTAAGAGTAAAACATTATGTTTCGGTTATGGAAGTGAAAGACTCTAAATGCTTTAGAGGGTTGCTATGTAGAATATTTTCTTGTTCATTATTATAGAGATGCCAAAAGGAAATGTAGTTTAGGTGTAGCGCAAAAGGAAATGTTTTTAAATCAACAATCAACAAAAAATGTGACCAATGATCATATTAAGAAGTGAATATTATGACAATTGACAAAGAAGATTGAAAAACATAGCAATTTTGCACTAAACAAACTGTGGTCGCTTTCAATTCCGACTGATTTCAAACTAGCTCTTAGCAGAATATTTCAGTTTGGTTGAAAACCTGGTGTTTTAGATAAAAAGTTAGCTTTTAAGCGTTAGGTTAGGATACGATAATATCTAATATTTTGGATTGGATTTAATGCGACACTAGATCATGACCCGTTCTGTCGGGCGGGTTTCTATTTCTTTGTAAATGCAGATTGTGGTTTTTTTTGTAGTGTAAAATTTGCTATAAATTTTTTTGTACATTATGTATTTTGTTATGTATATTACCGAAAGTATAGATATAGATATCAATTATTAACAGAAACATAGGAACTTCCAAATGCAAATATTGGGTCTGATTGGTAATGGCTGTAGCTTTAAAATTTTTGATGTAGAAAAAAATCTGTAGATTTTTTGCTGTGGTTTTAGATTAAATTGCTGTAGATTTTTTGGAAAGCACTAAAAAATTGTTTTGGATATTTGGCTCTTCAGAGCACTTGTATAGCTGTAGGTTATTTCAAGAGCTGTGGTTTCAAAAAAGAATTTAAAACTTGATTGCTCTGAATTTAGTGCTGTAGAAATAATAAGAGCTGTGGACAGCACCTACAACAACTACCAATCACCCCCATTATGTTTGATCAGTTTGAAATGAAAAAGAAATTACTAACCATGGTGATGACCGAGATGAACTTGTGATATGAACCGATGTTCGATAGTGGGAATTTTTTGAATAAAATATTATTATGGCATCTGAGCAAATAAAGAATAATAATTGTAAACTATTAAACTAGTATGATATATTTATTGTTTTAATTGTAAATTAGAACTATGAAGAATAATATGATATATTATTAAGTAAAAGGTAAAATATATTACTTTTTAATATTTGATGTGTTGAATCACAAAATATTAAATTTAGTATAATGATATAATTTTTAGTTTGGATTTAATGATTCTAGAAATCTATTAAAAATTAGTGTTATTGAGAATTGTATTCTTAACTATTTAACTCATAGAACAAGATTTTAAGAATATTACATATATCCATTAGATTCTTAAATCATTATAGTAATTGATTTTCCTTGATTTTTCACAATATACAAAATTCTCTACATTTTGTTTTCCTTATACAACAAATCTATCAACTTTTAAAATCAACAAATTCTCTGTAAATCTTATTCCCACTAACACTCCCTTACTGTTTTAGCGTTGGAATTGACATAATCCACTCACTTCATGCAAACAAAACAAAATTTAAAAATAAAATAAATAAACAGGGTAATATTTTGAAGATCCAACACTCATTAATAATAAACATTTTATATGGTTATTGAAATACTTTCTTTTTCAAACAGCAATAGCCAGATCTTGCTGCCAAAAATATAAACAATAGCTATAGCACCTACCACATTGACACATTCCATCCCTGTTTTTCCTTGTTAAATTGTTTTACAATCTCTCAGTTTGTTTATAAAATCACTCATCTCCAGCATGGTTTCTAATATAAATATTGCATAGTACACCAAAACCATAACATAAAACTCCAATCAAACCCAACTAGTATTAGCATTACTATGATTATGGGTGCCTTGTCGTTGGATGAGATCAGAAAGGCACAAAGAGCTGATGGACCAGCCAGCATCTTGGCCATAGGCACAGCCAACCCTACAAACCAAATGATCCAAGCAGAGTATCCAGACTACTACTTCCGCATCACCAACAGTGAACACATGACCGGCCTCAAAGAGAAGTTCAAGCGCATGTGTACGTCTTCATTTTCATTTTGACATATATCCATTCTTATGCTAGGACCGGATCTGGATACATCCTAGTGAAACATTTGCCGTTATCCCTAATTTTTTTTTGGGAAGTTATATACACATAGACATAAACTAACAAATTATAGTTTTTTCGTATTAAAATTTTTAGTAAATATTTATAGGTTTTTTAAATCTCAGATTCAGTTATGCCACATGTATACTTTATCTGTTACCACAACGTTACATGTATACTTTTTTTTTTGGACAATCCTTACATGTATACTTAACAGGCGACAAATCAATGATACGGAAACGTTACATGCACTTGACTGAGAAGTTTCTCAAGGAAAACCCCAACATATGTGCCTTCATGGCTCCTTCCTTGGACGTTAGGCAGGACATCTTGGTGTCCGAGGTCCCCAAGCTAGGCAAAGAGGCTGCAGTGAAGGCTATCAAGGAGTGGGATCAGCCTAAGTCCAAGATCACTCATCTAGTCTTCTGCACCACCTCTGGTGCCGACATGCCTGGTGCTGACTACGAGCTCATCAGACTCCTTGGTCTTTCTCCTTCTGTCAAGCGTGTCATGATGTACCATCAAGGCTGCCACGCTGGTGGCACTGTCCTCCGTTTGGCTAAAGACATAGCTGAGAATAACCGAGGCGCTAGAGTACTTATTGTTTGCTCTGAGATTACAGTAGTCACCTTCCGTGGGCCCTCTGAGACCCACCTAGACTCCCTCGTTGGACAGTCGCTTTTCGGTGACGGCGCGGCTGCACTCATTGTTGGTTCAGACCCTGATACCTCTTTGGGAGAGAAACCAATCTTTGAGATGGTGTCTGCTGCACAGACCATCCTTCCTGACTCTCAGGGAGCCATAGAAGGACATCTGAAGGAGGTGGGACTCACCTTCCACCTCCTGAAAACTGTCCCCAGTCTCATCTCAAAGAACATTGAAAAGAGTCTTGAAGAAGCATTTAAACCTCTAGGGGTAAATGACTGGAACTCTCTCTTCTGGATAGCTCACCCAGGAGGCCCAGCCATCTTGGACCAGGTTGAGATAAAGTTAGGACTAAAGCCAGAGAAGTTGAAGGAGACTCGTAACGTGCTGAGCGAGTATGGAAACATGTCCAGTGCCTGTGTCTTCTTCATACTTGACGAGATGAGGAGGAAGGCAGTGGAGGATGGTGCAAAGACAACAGGAGAAGGGTTGGAGTGGGGTGTCTTGTTTGGTTTTGGACCAGGTCTCACTGTAGAGACAGTAGTCTTGCACAGTGTTCCTCTCTGAGCTCTTCCCTTTGTGGAAATTATGTCATATCCTCTCTTGATACTGAGATGAACGATTGTATTGTGTTTTTTTTTTCTGTTTGCAACTCAAATTAGTTCACTCTTTCTGCATAGTACATGCTTGAACCAAGACTAGCAAAACTAATGTACAACACACGAAATGCTCTCATGTCAAGAAACTTCTGGCGAAAACATATATTTTCTCTCAAGTAAAACAAAAATATAGACCAAATCAAAAACTCTTATGGACTTGTGGCAAGCTTGTTGAAGGCGGCGTGAACTCTCTCTTCAGTGAACATTCTGTGGTTTTCATAGAAATCTAATATCTCCATTGCGATATTCTTCACCTGCAAAAATGTTCAGAACATACCAATGAATGATTTGAAAATATGATATGTGACTATTGTTAGATAAGATTAGGGTATTTTACACTAAGAGTTTTGTTTATTTTCTATTTAATAATTGGTTTTGAAGTTTCCATTTTATGTTAGTTTAAGAGTTTTCCTTTTTTTCTACAAGGTTGTATTCCTAAGGGTTTCATATGATTAAATAATAGACAAGCTTCCAAGAATGACCAAAATGTGCAGATAACAACAAGAGCTTACTATGTTCATGTCCACAGAGAGCTCTTCAAACCATGTCTTTATGTCTTTCTCTTTGTACACAGAAGCAATGTAAATGCAAGCGAGGGTGATGAGATAAGGCGGGTGTGTAAGGATGAGATCCATTCTGTAAGTGTCGTTGACAAGACCCCTATAGATTCCACACAAAAACACTTTAGCATCAAGAGACCATTCTGATTACAACAAAAGTTTTGGATATTTTACCAAGTTAAATGGGTCATGCTTGTGTCATTGAGTCCAGAATCCTGCAAGTACCTATAAAAGCAAGAGAAAAATAATCAAAAGAAAAGCATATGGAAGATGTCAACCAAAGATATGCCAAAAGACTTACTCAGGGAGAGACCGGTATGGATGGAATACAACAAGGTAGAACTCCAATGCTTCCAAGATCTTCATCTCCATTTCCAGAATATCTTTAATCTCATACCTGAATTTCTCATCAGCATCTGCCGAGTCCAAATTTCATCACAAGTTTAAGTAAAAGCTTGAGCAAATTAAAGAAAGTTTGAAACTAGAAAATGAACAAAAAGGGATTACACAATTTTCTGATGTAGAAGACAAGAATCTTGGCATGCACCACACTCTCCTCTGCTTTGCAAGCCAGATACAAGCAGGTTGGAGCAACAAGCCTAGGCTCATACTCTGTCAAACTCTTTCTGTCAACAACAACACACATAATAAATCAACCACCAAGCCTCTTTCTACACAAGATCATTAGAAGCTAGAGTACCTTGTGTAAACACGGCGCATATAGGTTACAGCAGTTGCAACAACTCTGAATCATAAGTACCAAACCAGTCAGCATTGTACAAAGATAATCACAGAGTGGTTTACACATTGAAAGACTTAACCTTTGCCTAATCTTAATGTGCTGTGCCAGTTTTGATATATCTGAAACAAAACAAGAATGTGAAATTGTTAATCAATAAATAGAGCATAAAAGTAAAACTAATGAACTAGCCAAAGAGTGGAGACTAGACTATCATTACAACTCAACAAGATTCAAAGACATATTATATAGATAGATAAGATCAAAAACCAAAGACATACAATTAGACATATGAAGCTTAATGAGTCTGAAATCTTCAACAGAGATGCCTCTCTGAGCATCAAGTGGATGAACAACATTAATCTCTTCTGGGTCTTTAAGCTCTTTGCTGTCCGAACAAACCCAGAAACAAACAAAAACAATAAATTAAGGAAACATGATTACAGAAACAGAACAATATCTATTTAAAAAGATCTGTAAATATTTGATTGAAAGTTTGAAACTTTACTAGTGCGTTGATGTCCAAAAATTGGAAGCCATGATTTTTATTTTCTTTTCCCTTTGATCCCCTCAAGAAGCAGATAGATAGCTTCCACACAAAAAAAAAAAAGAGTTTCCTTTCTTTATTTTTTTTTAATTATTTTGTGGTGGAAAATGAGCATCAGAATCCTCTTTATATGTCCCACCTAAAGTAGGCAGAGAGGCCTATACTTTGGAATAAGATTGGAGAATTGAAAATTAATGTAATGCTGGCTAATAAGTTTTCCAGGCCCTGCTCATTTGGTTCGTGGATCTATTCCGTGTGATGGAAGATCTATTTTTTCTAAATTTAAAGTTTTGTTTAATGATCCTACAATTGTCATATAAATTCTCTATGTTAGGTAGATTATTTTAAATCTATTGTTATTGCAGCTCCAATAGCTCACATACGTTTAACTTTGGATTTGTTTTCTATATGTAACCGAAAAAGTAAATAAACTAAACACATCTCTAATTGGTGACCTTTAAATTAGGAAGAAAAATTAATTGGAAAAAACTGAATAAAAACAAAATAAAAGGAATAAAATAAATATTTATTATTTCTGTATCATGTTAATTTTGAGAAAAATGTTTTTTTTTTTAGTTCCTTAAATTTTAAGAAAGGACAGAATCATATATAACAAATGTTCGTAAATGAGTACTTGATTATTGCTCCTAATTCTCTATGTCACCATTTAGATCCATAGTAGCCAAATCAACTCTTTAATACTTTTTGACATATACCACATGTTACAATTTTCACTTTAAAATTTTGTTTGGTAGCGTTAACAATAATGTTACATGTCTGCCACAAAGGTAAAGATAATATGGCAACTGATAAAGTCTCTATCTTTTTTGTTTTTGTGTCAGAGAGTATTAGACTAAACTTGGAGATGGATGTGATTCCTGGCTGCTGCTGCTGCTACGGCTTCAAAGCCAATTTGCTGAACGCAGAATTCACTTTCTCCTCGGTGATTGATCTGTAATTCTCGTAGAAGTCCAGAATCTCCATGGCAATGTTCTTCACCTGCAAGGTTTTAATGACAATGGTAACTAAAACCACATAAACCAACAGCATCTAGCTGGACATTAACTTGAATCAATGCAACATTTTTGTAAGTGAGACTGACCAAGTTCATGTCCTCATGAAGATCTTCAAACCATGCAGTGATATCTTTATCTCTGTGGACACTTGCTATGTATATACACGCTAGAGCTATGCGGTAAGGAGGGTGTACAAGGATGAGGTCCATCTTATAAGTATCATTTACAATTCCCCTGAAAACAAAAAAAACAGAACTCTCGTTTTAGATGATACTTACACAGGTCAGCGATCTTAGATCCTAGTGTTGGACCTATGAAATGAATTCTAAGCAAAACTTCTTAGTGAGAACTTTACCATGTAATCTGGTTCATATTTACATCGTTTATTGCAGCATCTTGCAAAAACCTGAGAAATCAAAAGAATGAGACAAAAAAAAAACATGGAATGTGAAGACTGCACATGTATAATCACTTAACACCCAATCACATCTTCTAACATAGCAACCGCTGAAAACAAGACAAAACATATTCATATTACATATGCTTCAAAAAGGCAGTAAAGAGAGAGGTAAGCACACATACTCAGATAAAGAGCGGTAAGGGTGAAACACAACGAGATAATAGTTGAGTGCTTCTAAGACCTTCATCTCCATTCCTAATACATCTTTTAGTTCATATTTATACTCATCAGGATCTGCAAAAAAGATATAGAAAGTCATTTTTGGTCTTAACTTTTATAGCAGAGTGAAAAGAGTAAAAAAAAAACATGAGAAGAACACAGTAGAAGATAAATATTACACAATTTTTTGATGTAAAAAATGACATTCCTGGCCTGAACAATACTTTCTTCAGCTTTAGATGCCAGATACATGCATGCAAGAGCAACAAGACGGGGCTCAAACTCTACCATACTTTTTCTGAGACAGTACAATATCAAAAAGAAAGATATTAGAGGATAAAACTGAAAAAAAAATTGATATGCATTTAATGATTTGTAACTTTTAAGACATAATTAAAAGTAAGAATTTTGAAGTCAGAGAGATGAAATTTGAAAAGATGATAAAAGAAACTAGCTTGTACACCTGGTATAAACCCGTCTCATGTAGGTAACAGCAGTGGCCACAACCCTACATAAGTTGAAAACAAAGGCATGGATTCACATAATATTCTCCAGGTTACACAGATGCAATAGTGGAATCTGTGATTATAAAATTGGATTCAAAAATGCAAAAAAAACAACAACAAAAGACAAACCTTTGCCTGACTTTAATGTGCTGAGCTAATTTCATCATATCTAAAACAACACAAAGATGCATCAGCAAAGAATAATCCACTAGAAAAAAACACATTCTTTTTGATAAATATCTAAACTTTTCAGACATATATGTACACTTCTGGTTAGTTCTGTAATACCAGGAAAATAAAATAACAAATTTTGATAAAATTGTACAAACAGAGTCAACCCATAAAAAAAGTCAAGTAGCAATAAAGAAGAAGAGGATGGTATCGTACGATTACACATATGGAACTTGATGAGCTTGAAATCCTCAACAGAAAGTCCACGTTCTTTGTCTAGAGCATGAACTACATCCACTTCTTCTTGCTCCATAAGCTGCTTGCTGCTCGTAACAACCACCAAAACAGAACAAAAAAAAAGTTTGAAAAATTGAACTTAAAGTAATCATCATTAAGGGTAAAAAGAATGTTAACTAGTGAGACGAATTCCAGAAATTGGCAGCCATTGATCTCCGAGAGAGAGAAGAAAACTTCAATCTCTTCTCATTAACTTTCAAAGTTTCAAAAAAAAAAAAAAAAAAAAAAAAAAAAAAACTTTCAAAGTTTCAACTTTTTTTTTTCTTTCTGTTATCTGTCAAATCTTTTGAAGAGTCTCTCATGATCTATCAAATCATATTAAATCGCTACTTTAGTTTACTAAACATCATTAACGCTTAGCCCAGACTCGGCCCATACTTGGCCCAATACTCCACGTTTCATCTTTTATTGTAGACATTAGCTTATATCACTTCCGGAGTTTTCTGTTGATTGTCACTGACTTTCATAATAGTTAACGGTTGCAGAGGGATAAATCTTGAGTTTCAGCTGGCTCTTTACCGTCTCCAAAGCAAGCAGATACACTAAAGACAACGAACATCAACCTAGTTCGGATGTTTCTGCAGAGAAGATGCTCAAAGAACAAGGTCAACAAGCGTCTTTAGATACTGTTTCTGAGGCTACCTGACGCTGCATTGCATCTATTTATCAGTAATGTGAGATGAGAAATTGGCAATAACACAAAAGATCAGGATGCACCATTTTAGTTGACAAAGTCAGTATAAAAAGAGTTTTCCCATTTATAACTTAACATAACAATTGATATCCAACTAAATGATAGGAGCCTCCTTGAATAATCAACTTTGTCTTCCAACAAAGTAAAATATTCAAAACCAAGTCCCTTCAATGTAAGGTGGTTTGGTAATGTTTGATGTATATCAATCATCTGGTGGATGGAAGGAACACTCGAATCAGCTCTCTCGCAGTCACCTTTTTCCTACAAGTAGGACACTTCCCTTGCTTAGATATCGCCATCTTTATACATCCCTTGCAGAAGATGTGGCCACATTTGGTTGTCATCTCCTCCGTAAACGGACACATACAAATAGGACATGAAAATTTAGGCTCCTCTGGTGGTGGTGGAGGTGCTGGAGCTTGAGCCTTTGAGGTCTCAGGGACATGCTCACAGTCGATGACAGGTTGATTAGGAGGAACCCTTCTCCTTTTGTTAGTTGTACCACCTGCACTTATCCGTACCAAGTAAGAAAAAGTATACACAGAAAAAAAAAAGAAAAAAACTAACAAGCTATCTCATATCCATCACACACCACACAACAAACACAAGAGTTTATTCATTAACTCACCTGACTCAACACGCCTCCTACGTGAACCTGATGATTTACTTACAGCCTGGTAAACAAAACCAAAACCAAAACTAAACCGGTTAACCTTCTACACAAACATTACAAAATTAAAAGCAAAGATAACAAGAAAGGAGGATATATACTTCAGCAAAATCACTAGCGGATGATTCAACAACATCATCATCAATAGCATCGACATCAATCATGGTGGTGGGGACAGGCTGAGAAGGTAGAAACCACCGTAGAAGGCTAACACTAAGGGACGTCTCTTCTTGATCTCTAGGCGCCACATTAAGATCAATCAACGCTTTTAACCGTCGAAACCCACGAGTTGGCCTCACCTCTTGTGTGTTGTTCATCTCTCTCAAAACTCTCAGATTAGCCAAAACCTTTTTTTGTTTGTTACCTGTTAAATGCCAAAAAAAAGGATTCAACTTTACAAACTCTAACGAACCTACCAAAGCAAATACAATTGAAACATTGAAAATAGATTATTTAATTATCGAGAAATCAACAACAAACGATTAGTAACTTAAGGACCTATTAGATTGAGTTGATTCTAGGTTTGAGATACTCACCGTGACGTGAATTTTGGTCGGAGAATATTGCAGGAGGGAATTAAGGAATCAAGTATATTCTTTGTGCATCTAGGGTTTTTTTGAAAGTTGGAGGAGCGTTCTTACAGGAGGAGAAGAGAAGAGAAAGCGGTCAGGATAATTTTGAGTTTTTATAAAGGACCACGGGGTAGGTGAGTCAACGGGATTGTGACACGTGTAAGAGGAAGAGGTCGTGGTCTTGTAGGAACCCACAAGTACGAAACGGCACGGTTTTGTTTTATTGTGTTCTGATTGACTTTTTATCGCACTTCGTGGTGTTTTCTTCGTACGGTACGTCTAAAAAAACCGTAAATGTCAAAGCCCATTGGGCTTAGTGACTTTAACGTTATTCAGCCCATTTATTTTAGTGATTTTTTTTCCAACTTCTACTTCTATTTCCCGACCGATTTCGAGTTAGATTCATTACAAAACCTGATTAACATATATCTTTAGACCAACTTTTTATTCTCTCTCTCTAGATTAGTAAACAACTTTTCGACTTTTTATGCTTTCTACTGAAAGTCCTCTCAGATCCTGTCCTAGCGTCGTCTCCAGTGAAGCCTTCTTCAAATTCTGCTTAGTCCTAACCATTTTCATGAGTGATATCAGTAATGAATGAGTGATCTGTCTTTATCCCACCGATTCCTTAAAAAAAAAAAGCTAACGGCTTTCAGATAATTCGCTGCTTCCTTCTCAACCTCCGATCTGGGTTTTGGTTTTAACTTCATACCGAAGTAGAAATAGAGTTTACCCTCTTGTAAAGTTACAATCTTTTTTTTGTGGAAAATTCGGACATGATTCAGCTACTGTTTCTAATTCTGTTCGTGGAAGGTGCGATTACATTCTTGTTACTAATCAAGATTGGTCCTTTGAGGGAGCTTGTGATTAAGAGCCTTGACCAGATGAAAATGGGGAAAGGTCCAGCCACTGTGAAAACCATCGCTGGAACCATGGCTGTTATCCTCTTCTCCAATCTCATGAGCATTGTCAAGATTCAGAACAAAGGTGCAAAGCTTGGGACTATGTCTCCTATGGATCAGGTTCTTTGGAGAACCCATTTGCTTGAAGCCTCTTTAATGGGTCAGTTCAGTGCCTCTCTCTAACTTGCTTGCTTCTTTGCAGAATCATAAGGCTTTGTTAGTGATTAATTTAGTTGTTGGGTTATGTGATAATTAGAATTTATCACTCGCCTATCAATACTTATTTTGGCTCTTTAAATTTTTTTTTGTTTAAAAAAATAGTTGAGATTTGCTTAATTAATGATTAATTCAGTTGAAAATTTAGTTGTTGGGTTCTGGTTTTGCTTATGTGATAATTAGAATTTATTCACTCTCCTATCATTACTTATTTTGGCTCTTTAAATTTTTTTTTTGTTTAAAAAAATAGTTGAGATTTGCTTAATGATTAATTCAGTTGAAAATTTAGTTGTTGAGTTCTGGTTTTGCTTATGTGGTAATTAGAATTTTTTCACTCTCCTATCAACACTTATTTTGGCTCTTTAAACTTTTTTTGTTTTAAAAAAATAGTTGAGCTTTGCTTAATGATTAATTCAGTTGAAAATTTAGTTGTTGAGTTCTGGTTTGCTTATGTGGTAATTAGAATTTATTCACTTTCCTATCAATACTCATTTTGGCTCTTTAAACTTTTTTTGTTTTAAGAAAATAGTTGAGCTTTGCTTAATGATTAATTCAGTTGAAAATTTAGTTGTTGAGTTCTGGTTTGCTTATGTGGTAAATAGAATTAATGAACTCTCTAATCAATACTTAGTTTAGCTGTTTGAATTTTTTTTTTTTTTGAACCTCAAACCTTAATGATTTTTGCAGGAGTGGTACTTTTTCTTGGCTTTGTGATTGATAGAATGCATCACTACTTAAAAAAGCTACTCAACTTAAGAGGCAACGTTGGATCATCTCAAGAAGAGCTTGAACAGCTTCAGAAAGAGAGGACAGAACTAAAGGAGAAAGAGGAAAAAGCATCTAAGGAGATCAAGCAGCTTCAAGAAAAACTGTCATCTATGTCAGAGAGACTTAAGAAAGTAGAGACCGAGTGTAAAGAGAAAGAGAAGAAAGTGGAAGCAGCTGAAACACATGTCACTGCTCTGCAAAAACAGTCTGCGGAGTTGCTTCTTGAGTATGATAGTTTGCTAGAAGATAACCAAAAGCTCCAAAACCAAATTTTGGGGACAAAGAGCTAAAATGTAAGATTGTAGGGAGTGTTGTTGTTAACAATGGTTGATTGAGAAAGAGAGTTTTTTTCTTTAATGGAGGGTTGCAGTTAGCATTTTTGTGTTTTTGAGTATATGGTTGATGTTGAATGTCTTTCTGAGACCTGTTTCTTGCTGTCTATATCGACTCTTTGGGATGTGTTTGTTGACAGTTTCATCAAAAGCAATCTTGACTGTGAGAAAAGAATGATTGCTGCAAAGGTTAATTTTAGATGTTATATTACAGATGAGAGGTTGTTCAAAAAAAAAAATATTACTGATGAGATTATGTTGGTGAACTTACAAGAACAATGCGGCAATTACTCAATGGAGATAAGAAAAAAAATAATAATAAAAAAAAAATAAAGCGCCGACTGTGGGGATCGAACCCACGGCCACGGGATTAAAAGTCACGCGCTCTACCACTGAGCTAAGTCGGCTGTTGATAAACAGAGTTTCTTTTATCTATCTATCATACACTGAAGGAGAAATTTACACGGTTACATGTGTGTTTTCATTTGTGCTTGTAACAAAGGTTGATCTGTTATCATTTTATAAACACTGTCCAGCTTCAAACACTTCTCATGATTTACCAAAGGGAACCCCCTTCTTGAGCCATTTGCTTCTACAAGGTTCCACATTGCGTTTTGGTAAATTATTCAGTATCAGTGGCTCTTCATCAAGTTTGAACTGTTTAGAGAAAGGCAAAACTGATGATTCAGCTTCTAGTCTCCCTCCGATCTTCGGCTGTCTTTATTGATAACAACTGCTTTATCCCACTTGTGTCTCTTATTTAAATCAGAATCAAATGGTGAAACTTGTGATGAGAATTTAGTCTCAAAAATTTCCACGTAATATACTGATATTGATTTTATTTAGAGTCCACATAATATAAAATATAAAAATTTATATTTTTTTTAGTTTTAACTCCCTTTCGTGTATTTAAAGTTGAACCGAAAACTAACGTTACAGTTGGCAAAGCTAGTTAACACCAAAACAAGGAGTAAGAGAGAAATTAAATAATGAAAAAGCGAATATCGAAATATCCAAAAACAAAGAGTTGAAAAGTTGATAACTGGTTATAATAATAAATAATAATAATTGAACAATTAAGGAATAAGTAAAATCGCGAGAAAAGAGGAGGCACGACATCGAAACTACAAAGCGTGCTTCGCACTGAATTGTCTTTCTTTATCTTCTTCAACACACACAACATAAGGTTATATAACACTTATCTGTCTCTCCTCACAGATATAAATATTCACCACTAGAGAAAGAAACTCGCCGCTTGTGTTTTTTTCTCTGTCTCAGAAGGTAGAGAACACTAAGCACATACCTCGACCGCACAAAGGTCAGTGAGAGAAATGCTATTTAAGTATTTATATATATGTATATGCGTGCGTGTATTAATTGATTTTTATATATTTCATTTTTCTTTACAGTGGAAGAAGATACAATGGTCTACGGAGAAGATCGGTATATTCTCTTATCCTTCTCCATTTTTTCTCTTTTTTTTTTTTTGGCTCTGAGATTTTTTTCTGAGTTTTTCTGGATGTGTAGATTTGTTTAATAATTGGGAACTCTCAGATATGCTTTTGAGACTATTCAGTCTTCACAACATGTAAATGTACTATGGATTTGATTATGTTATGTCTAAAAAAATTTGCAGTAGCCTCTCAAGGAATTGGCAAAAGCAGTACCAACCACAGTCTAATTTCTGTAAGTTCTTACATTATTCAACACTTTGTGACAATCATGACTGAATCGTTCTATAACTCTCAGCTGATGTGACGGAGTGCATGATGACTGAAGTCACATTAAACCAAGAAGATCACTCCTACATGTTTGATGATGATGATGATGATGATGAATCCACACCAGTGAAGGCTTGTAGCGAGTCGAGTTATCATGTCACACTCACAACAGGTTGTTCTTTTTTTTTTTTTTTTTATCTCAGATGTCTAAGTTTCATGATGGTTTTTCTAGTCTATAATGAGTTTGTGCTTTCAGATGAAACAATCAAGAAGCTGAAAGTGCAAAGAGAGACACGCTCTTCTGTAAAGAGACGTCGAATGTTACAGTTCAAAGACCAGCCTATGGAAACAACTCTTTTCAGCAGTGAGAGTTTCTCTTCAATCTTAAGATCAAGCGTGAGTTTATACATACAAAATCTAAGCTGCATTTGATAGCTTAAGGAGTTGCATATTCTAATACTATCTTTGATGTTTCTTCTATGAAATGTTCAGGCTAGAGAGGAAACATTTGATGAGCTTATAGAAGATGCTTCTGCCTCAAGCTTCAATGGCCTTGATCTGTATGCTGACTACTTAAATGATGCCGAAACACCAACTCTACCTGATGACTTGTATGTTTCAATCTAATCCTTTTTCACTTTAGTAATCTTATTTGCTTCATTTAACTGATTACTATTGTTACCTCCTCTCAGAAGCTTTGAATCTAACGATGTCCATGTAGATATTTCAGGTCAGCTTTCTTTGTTTTAGTCTCTCTTCTTTAGCTTTTCTTGCTAAAGTCCCCTGTGTTTGGCGCAGAGTATCTAAATCTGCCACCAGAAACAGAAACCAAGGAAGTTAGGAGGCCAGTGACTCGTTCTTCTCCAAATGTTATATTTAAAGGTAAAATAAAATAAACTCTTTTCACAAATGAGTCTCATAGTTACACACTGAGTTAAAATGGGGATATAGCAGGTAGAAAATCTAGTGCAAGACCAGTTCCAAAGCTAGCATCGTCTATCATCTATCCATTTGCATTTATCAAACCGAGTGGTGTTCATGGAGACATGACTCTCAAGGACATAAACCAGAAAATCCGAACTCCACCAGCAAAACCAATGGAAAATAAAGCAGAGCCTCCAGTGTTACAAACTTCAGAATTCTCTGGGAAACCTGTAGTTGGAAAGACTAAGATCCGCACAGAAGGAGGAAGAGGAAGCATCACTATAATGAGGACGAGAGGCTAAGTTATAAGTTAAGTAGAAAGTATTTTAGTCAAGGGGCCTTAATCACGTTCTTGTTTCGTTTTGGTATATCTCTAGTAAGAAAGTGGAAGTTAAGGATCTGTAACCAATGCCATTGTCGTAGGATGTCATTTGTTTGTATAGTCTCTTGGTTATGATCGTCATTTTGATTACATCATCTCCATGCGCAAGTAGAAAGATGGAAGTGGGATATAAACTCTTTGTGGTTTAACATAACAGCAAATGAAATGGAACTTAAGAAAGAAAATATAAGGGCAAAATCTGATACAACACCTAAGTAAAAGTAAAATAAAAGTATCATAGGTCGGCTCAAAAACATGCAAAGACAAACCGCTAGTGATGATGATCTCAGTACTTAACTGGTGCAAGAATTTCGAGCTGTGCTCCAAGCTTCTCTTCAGCGACCTTCTCGGCCTTGACTCTAAGTTTGTTAAGTTGCTTCTTCCTCTCGTAAACCACTTGAGATCTCTCTTTCCTCTTCGCCTCCAGCTCCTGTTCATTCAAAGTTATTATTACATGAAACCTCATAAGCTAGATAGCTTTTCTTCTAACTAAAACATATGCTTGCTTTATCTATTAGATCTATGTAGGAACAAAACTAGACACACTCTACTAGCTAAACATCAACAGAACATAAACTGGTACAAGCAATCAGGGCCAAATGAGGTGGGAGAATGCATACCTTGATGGTGTCATAGTGGTTCCACCCGACTTCAGAAGAAAGACGACCCAACAAACAATACTTGTGGCCCGCTTGAAGCCTCAACACCCTAAAGTAAAACAAAAGGTAGAAGATTATGATACAGAAGTAGAGAGCTTATGATAATAGAAAAAACAACAGAAGAGGGTATAGGTACAAACTTGAGAGCATCAGGGATAACCATCCTTTTGACCCTGTCATATTGTGGAGGGACACCTTCAAAAACCTTCATGCGTGCAAGTGCAGCAGCTCCACGCTTTGTTTTATGTGGAATCATACTGCAAAATCAAACCACACAAAAACATTCACTCACCTAAAATCATCACAAAACCTATAATTTAAAAATTATAAATCCTATATCTCTAAACTTCACTCAGCTTAAAACATTAAAAAACTTAAAACTTTTAATGTCATTAATCCTACATCTCAAGCTTTCACTCAAGATCTATCATTATAGCAAGAAAATGTAATAGCTTCGGTGTTACGTTACACAATTAACACACACTGACACATTCACTCAGCTTCAATCACTTAGAAACTAAAGCTTTGACGGCAATAAACCAAAACATCCACTCAGCTAAAAACACTTCAAAACATTAACTTTTGACTCCAATAAATCCTACTTCTATAACATTTGCTCATGATATATCATCATATCTCACAAATACAAACACGAACTGAATCCATACAGGGATCTCTATCATTGAGAACAAAATGTAATCGCTTCCGTGTTACGTTACACAGAAACATTCACTCAGCTCTAACTTAAAACCCAAAACTTTGACTGTAATAAACCAAACCATTTACTAAAGATCCAACATTCAATCAGCTCTAATCACTTAAAGACCAAAACTTTGACTTTAATACATCAAAACATTCACTCAAAATCGAACATTGAGAACAAGAATATAATCAGTAAAATGCAATACCTGAACAAGAATATAATCAGTAAAATGCAATACCTTCCGCGTTACGTTACACAATTAACAGACACAGAAACATTCCCTCAGCTCTAATCACTTTAAAACCAAAACTTTAACTATAGCAAACAAAAACATTTACTAAAGATCTAACCTTTAAACCAAACAAGAGAGCTAGACAGATTCAGCAAATATCACTCAGCTCTAATCACTTAAAAAACCAAAACTTTCACTATAACAAACCAAAGCATTCACTAAAGATCTAACCTTTAAACGTAACAAGAGAGCTAGACAGATTCAGAAACATCCACCAAGCTCTAATCACTTAACCAAAACTTTAACTGTAACAAACCAAAACATTCACTAAAAATCAATCACTTAAACTATACAAGAGAGCTAGCCAGATTCAGAAACATTCCCTCAGCCCTAATCACTTAAAAAACCAAAACTTTACCTATAACAAACCAAAACATTCACTAAAGCTCTAACCTTTAAACTATACAAGAGAGCTAGCCAGATTCAGAAACATTCCCTCAGCCCTAATCACTTAAAAAACCAAAACTTTACCTATAACAAACCAAAACATTCACTAAAGCTCTA